AAGGTCAGAGTTGAGAAGCACGGCGGAATATGTCGAATTTTTTCCGCTTCACAGATTAAAGACCACCTGATCATTTGAGCTAACAGGTCATTTTTGGTGGGAAACTCGCGCCGAGAAGACGTTCTTTGTGAATAGAGTAAGTGTGATGATATTTTACAACTTTTGTATTTGATCGTTTATATTGTTCTTGATGTATGCTATTTTTATGTACTCGCGCTTTATAAAATATCTTTAAATATGTATGTTATCCCTGTAGTTAGTTATGAGTTGAGTTGAAGTTATTGTTGATGGTTCTTATAAAATGTGATTTGGCCAGACTACGTGATGCGCCCGCGGTTTTGTTGATATACTCGCGATTTATAAAATATCTTTATGTAAGTTATCCCTGTACCCCCTATAGTAAGTAATGTGTAGAGTTGAAGTTATTGTTGATGGTTGTTGTAATAAAATGTGATTCTGGCCAGACTACGTGATGCGCCCGCGGTTTTGTTGATATACTCGCGATTTATAAAAAAATCTTTATGTAAGTTATCCCTGTACCCCCTGTAGTAAGTGATGTGTTGAGTAAAAGTTATTGTTGATGGTTGTTGTAATAGAATGTGATTTGGCCAGACTACGTGATGCGACCGCGGTTTTGTTGATTTACTCGCGATTTATAAAAAAATCTTTATGTAAGTTATCCCTGTACCCCCTGTAGTAAGTGATGTATTGAGTTAAAGTTACTGTTGATGGTTGTTGTTATAAAATGTGATTTGGCCAGACTACGTGATGCGCCCGCGGTTTTGTTGATATACTCGCGATTTATAAAAAAAAATTCTTTATGTAAGTTATCCCTGTACCCCCTGTAGTAAGTGATGTGTTGAGTTGAAGTTATTGTTGATGGTTGTTGTTATAAAATATGATTTGGTCAGACTACGTGATGCGCCCGCGGTTTTGTTGATATACTCGCGATTTATAAAAAAATCTTTATGTAAGTTATCCCTGTACCCCCTGTAGTAAGTGATGTGTTGAGTTGAAGTTATTGTTGATGGTTGTTGTTATAAAATGTGATTTGGTCAGACTACGTGATGCGCCCGCGGTTTTGTTGATATACTCGCGATTTATAAAAAAAATCTTTATGTAAGTTATCCCTGTACCCCCTGTAGTAAGTGATATGTTGAGTTGAAGTTACTGTTGATGGTTGTTGTTATAAAATGTGATTTGGTCAGACTACGTGATGCGCCCGCGGTTTTGTTGATATACTCGCGATTTATAAAAAATCTTTATGTAATGTATCCCTGTACCCCCAGTAGTAAGTGATATGTTGAGTTGAAGTTATGATGGTTGTTATTTTAAAATGTAATTTGGTCAGACTACGTGATGCGCCCGCGGTTTTGTTGATATACTCGCGATTTATAAAAAAATCTTTATGTAAGTTATCCCTGTACCCCCTGTAGTAAGTGATGTGTTGAGTTGAAGTTTTTGTCGATGGTTGTTGTAATAGAATGTGATTTGGCCAGACTACGTGATGCGTCCGCAGTTTTGTTGATATACTCGCGATTTATAAAAAAAAATCTTTATGTAAGTTATCCCTGTACCCCCTGTAGTAAGTGATGTGTTGAGTTGAAGTTATTGTTGATGGTTGTTGTTATAAAATGTGATTTTGTGAGACTACGTGATGCGCCCGCGGTTTTGTTGATATACTCGCGATTTATAAAAAATCTTTATGTAAGTTATCCCTGTCTCCCTGTAGTAAGTGATATGTTGAGTTGAAGTTATTGTTGATGGTTGTTGTTATAAAATTTGATTTGACCAGACTACGTGATGCGCCCGCGGTTTTGTTGATATACTCGCGATTTATAAAAAATCTTTATGTAAGTTATCCCTGTACCCCCTGTAGTAAGTGATGTGTTGAGTTGAAGTTATTGTTGATGGTTGTTGTTATAAAATGTGATTTGGTCAGACTACGTGATGCGCCCGCGGTTTTGTTGATATACTCGCGATTTATAAAAAAATCTTTATGTAAGTTATCCCTGTACCCCCTGTAGTAAGTGATGTGTTGAGTTGAAGTTATTGTTGATGGTTGTTGTTATAAAATGTGATTTGGTCAGAATACGTGATGCGCCCGCGGTTTTGTTGATATACTCGCGATTTATAAAAAAATCTTAATGTAAGTTATCACTGTACCCCCTGTAGAAAGTGATGTGTTGAGTTGAAGTTATTGTTGATGGTTGTTGTTATAAAATGTGATTTGGTCAGACTACGTGATGCACCCGCGGTTTTGTTGATATACTCGCGATTTATAAAAAAATCTTTATGTAAGTTATCCCTGTACCCCCTGTAGTAAGTGATGTGTTGAGTTGAAGTTATTGTTGATGGTTGTTGTTATAAAATGTGATTTGGTCAGACTACGTGATGCGCCCGCGGTTTTGTTGATATACTCGCGATTTATAAAAAATCTTTATGTAAGTTATCCCTGTACCCCCTGTAGTAAGTGATGTGTTGAGTTGAAGTTATTGTTGATGGTTGTTGTTATAAAATGTGATTTGGTCAGACTACGTGATGCGCCCGCGGTTTTGTTGATATACTTGCGATTTATAAAAAAATCTTAATGTAAGGTATCCCTGTACCCCCTGTAGTAAGTGATGTGTTGAGTTGAAGTTATTGTTGATGGTTGTTGTTATAAAATGTGATTTGGTCAGACTACGTGATGCGCCCGCGGTTTTGTTGATATACTCGCGATTTATAAAAAATCTTTATGTAATTTATCCCTGTACCCCCTGTAGTAAGTGATGTGTTGAGTTGAAGTTATTGTTGATGGTTGTTGTTATAAAATGTGATTTGACCAGACTACGTGATGCGCCCGCGGTTTTGTTGATATACTCGCGATTTATAAAAAAAAATCTTTATGTAAGTTATCCCTGTACCCCCTGTAGTAAGTGATGTGTTGAGTTGAAGTTATTGTTGATGGTTGTTGTTATAAAATGTGATTTGGTCAGACTACGTGATGCGCCCGCGGTTTTGTTGATATACTCGCGATTTATAAAAAATCTTTATGTAAGTTATCCCTGTACCCCCTATAGTTGGTTATGTGTTGAGTTGAAGTTATTGCTGATGGTGGTTGTTATAAAATGTGATTCTGGCCAGACTACGTGATGTGACCGCGGTCTTTTATATACTCGTGATTTATAAGAAATCTTTTTGTATGTTATCCCTGTAGTTAGTAATGTGTAGAGTTGAAGTTATTGTTGATGGTTGTTGTTATAAAATGTGATTTGGTCAGACTACGTGATGCGCCCGCGGTTTTGTTGATATACTCGCGATTTATAAAAAATCTTTATGTAAGTTATCCCTGTACCCCCTGTAGTAAGTGATGTGTTGAGTTGAAGTTATTGTTGATGGTTGTTGTTATAAAATGTGATTTGGCCAGACTACGTGATGCGCCCGCGGTTTTGTTGATATACTCGCGATTTATAAAAAATCTTTATGTAAGTTATCCCTGTACCCCCTGTAGTAAGTGATATGTTGAGTTGAAGTTACTGTTGATGGTTGTTGTTATAAAATGTGATTTGGTCAGACTACGTGATGCGCCCGCGGTTTTGTTGATATACTTGCGATTTATAAAAAAATCTTAATGTAAGGTATCCCTGTACCCCTGTAGTAAGTGATGTGTTGAGTTGAAGTTATTGTTGATGGTTGTTGTTATAAAATGTGATTTGGCCAGACTACGTGATGCGCCCGCGGTTTTGTTGATATACTCGCGATTTATAAAAAAATCTTTATGTAAGTTATCCCTGTACCCCCTGTAGTAAGTGATGTGTTGAGTTGAAGTTATTGTTGATGGTTGTTGTTATAAAATGTGATTTGGCCAGACTACGTGATGCGCCCGCGGTTTTGTTGATATACTCGCGATTTATAAAAAAATCTTTATGTAAGTTATCCCTGTACCCCCTGTAGTAAGTGATGTGTTGAGTTGAAGTTATTGTTGATGGTTGTTGTTATAAAATGTGATTTGGTCAGACTACGTGATGCGCCCGCGGTTTTGTTGATATACTCGCGATTTATAAAAAATCTTTATGTAAGTTATCCCTGTACCCCCTGTAGTTGGTTATGTGTTGAGTTGAAGTTATTGTTGATGGTGGTTGTTATAAAATGTGATTCTGGCCAGACTACGTGATGTGCCCGCGGTTTTTTATATACTCGTGATTTATAAGAAATCTTTATGTATGTTATCCCTGTAGTTAGTAATGTGTAGAGTTGAAGTTATTGTTGATGGTTGTTGTTATAAAATGTGATTCTGGCCAGGCTACGTGATGCGCCCGCGTTTTTTTTTTATATACTCACGATTTATAAAAAAATCTTTATGTATGTTATCCCTTTAGTTAGAAATGTGTTGAGTAGAAGTTCTTGTTGTAAAATGTGATTCTGGCCAGGCTACGTGATGCGCCCGCGGTTTTTTGATATACTCACGATTTATAAAAAATCTTTATATATGTTATTCAAGTACTTAGTTATGTGTTGAGTTGAAGTTATTGTTAATGCTTGTTATAAAATGTGAATCTGGCCAGGCTACGTGATGCGCCCGCGTTTTTTTTTTTTTTTTTTTGATATACTCGCGATTTATAAAAAAATCTTTATGTACGTTATCCCTGTACCCCCTGTAGTAAGTAATGTGTTGAGTTGAAGTTATTGTTGATGGTTGTTGTTATAAAATGTGATTCTGGCCAGGCTACGTGATGCGCCCGCGGTTTTTTGATATACTCATACTCGAGTATTGTATTTGATATGTATTTGTATCTTTTTCACCAATAAAATAATCATATGTTTTTTTTATTTTTGTTTTATGCTTCCTATCTCCTTTTGACCTCTGGCTTCATGTTTAACCTACTCTTTTTATGCTATGACTTTGATATGTTTAATTATGTAAATAATAAATTAGATTTTGAAATGCCTGTATTTGTTTGCTTTAATACCTATATTTTTGTTTTACAGATCTACTTGCCAGGGTTTTTAACTGTTTTTTTTCCCTATTCTAATGTTTTGTGTCTTTTTGTGTTTTTGGAAACCCCCTGGAAAGAAGATGTTGGTGTTCTAGTTCTACATTGTGGCGGAGACGTGATTATGTGGATAGCTGCATGTGTATTATTGGTTGGAAACTGGCATGATGGAGCAATTAGGTATTTTACAATATTATACTTTAAGATTTTTTTTGTATGCATAGTATCATCTATTTAAGAAATAAAAAATTCAGCTAGTTCAACAAACAGTTGATAGGAATTGTCTATTGGAGATAGTCTTTTAGCTAGCTAGACTGGAAGGTAAGTGGTTCTACTAGGCATGAACTTGCCCTACCCTGAAACTCATTTGACGGCCTTTATCTGCCATATAATAAAGAATGGGCCTTCATATAATATAAAACCAATGAAACATTGATAATTACCTGCTTACTTGAAAAGTAATTTGTAAAGACATGATAAATATTAACATTATAAGATTAGAATGTTATTTTGTAAACCCTGGTGATTTTTCAGACCATGGAGGAGTGATGAAGCGGAAGTGGATAAGACTATCAGTTCTTCGAGAGTCCCAGTGCCTATATACTCGCAAGAAGGATATGGTATGGAATAGCTTAGTACATCTATGTGCTGGCAGATTTGTACAACAATAAGTTGTTCCAGTGTGAAGAAAGATGCGTGTCATAAGGTAAACCTTGTTCTTTGATGCTATAGTAAATCATAATAAAGATAATGAATCATAATAAAATCAAAATACAAGTTTGGTTGAAATCCTGTGCAATTTGAGCCAAATGAATATAGAGGTGAGTATCCTGTCGGACATTTTGGAGACTAGGGTTCCATTCCCTGTCTATGTTTACTTACAAAATACAATTTTATTATATTACTTATGAATAAAGTATACAGTTGATAGGAATTGTCTATTGGAGATAGTCTTTTAGCTAGCTAGACTGGAAGGTAAGTGGTTCTACTAGGCATGAACTTGCCCTACCCTGAAACTCATTTGACGGCCTTTATCTGCCATATAATAAAGAATGGGCATTCATATAATATAAAACCAATGAAACATTGATAATTACCTGCTTACTTGAAAAGTAATTTGTAAAGACATGATAAATATTAACATTATAAGATTAGAATGTTATTTTGTAAACCCTGGTGATATTTCAGACCATGGAGGAGTGATGAAGCGGAAGTGGATAAGACTATCAGTTCTTCGAGAGTCCCAGTGCCTATATACTCGCAAGAAGGATATGGTATGGAATAGCTTAGTACATCTATGTGCTGGCAGATTTGTACAACAATAAGTTGTTCCAGTGTGAAGAAAGATGCGTGTCATAAGGTAAACCTTGTTCTTTGATGCTATAGTAAATCATAATAAAGATAATGAATCATAATAAAATCAAAATACAAGTTTGGTTGAAATCCTGTGCAATTTGAGCCAAATGAATATAGAGGTGAGTATCCTGTCGGCCATTTTGGAGACTAGGGTTCCATTCCCTGTCTATGTTTACTTACAAAATACAATTTTATTATATTACTTATGAATAAAGTATACATTTGATAGGCATTGTCAGTTGTAGTTGTCTAACAGGCTAACTTTTGGTAGGTTGGTGGGTCTGTAACTTTTTGTGTTGCCTCTACAGAGTAGTGGTGACATATAGGGATCACTTCTCCGTGGTTTGTCTGTCCGTGCAAAACAAATGGGTGACTAGGAAAACAATAGGTATTGGTACATTTTCTTCGATTCTTTTTATTCTGTTTTACTTGTGTGTCTTCTTTTAAGCCTTGTGTGACTGAAAATGGATAAAAAGATCAAAGGAAAGTCACGTAAGTACTTCCGTCTGTCTGTCCGGACTACTCAAAAACTACTGGTGCAATTTCATCTAAACTTTACAAGAAAGATCAGTTACAAGTCTAGTTGTGCATCTCGTCAACATTTTTGGGTTCAATCATATTTGTCAGAGAAATGGCCCTTCAATGATTTTAATTTTTAGCTCGACTATACGAAGTATATAGAGAGCTGTCCTACTCGCCCCGGAGTCCCCTTCCAGATTTCAGATTAAAGTTTTGGTGCAGTAAAATATTTTTTACTCGATGAAACTCATGGTTATTTTTTTTTGCTTGTTAGCTGGTATCTCCCTAACTATTGAAGGGAATGGAATGAAACTTAACATACATTTTCAATCACTGTGATTTTTTAACATGATTGGCACAGGTCCCATAACTCTGATTTACTTATTTACATATTTATGCCCCTTTTTATACTCATTGAAACATCCTTGTGACAACTATATCGAAAAGTCGAGCATTGCTGTCCTCCGACAGCTCTTGTTGAACTTGGAATTTATTTGAAAATTGTTATATTTTTTAAGTACATGTACTTGTATTATTTTTTTGTATTATAAATGATGTCTACTCTAGACTTAGGATAATTTTCCTTTGTCAATACTCACATCATGCATGACAAGTTCCATTACTATAGCATCTTTATTTCAAGAGTTATAAACAAAATAATCTCATAAAAAAACATTAACCATCTTAAAATAATGCTGACGATCAACCTTGATCAATGCTATGTTTTGACAGCTGTGTAATGCCAGATAAACAATGTACCACCAAGTCAACTAATCAAATGGCCCCTCGCTAATTTGCATAAATTCCATTGCACAGTGTGATATACCGTTCTCCTGGATTTTATTGGTTAATTTATTTGCACTTATATAAATTCAAAACTGTCAAAATGATAGCATTAATCCATTTCCTTTTCTATCCACAAACTTTCTTTAACCCATACAGTACAGTTTCGCGATCAATATAAACACCTTTTCTCGCCGTTGTGGGTAGCTTCATATATGCACTCTGTTGATTTCCCTGAGCATGCCTTTCAACGCCGTCAAATTAAACACAAATTTCCATTTAATTATTCATATAAATGACACAGGAAGAATGATATTGTAAACACAAAATATTGGCAAGGTATTTTCCATTTTCAGAAAATTGTGTTACTATAAAAATATTTTTGAAAAAATCTGTATAGTACGCCGCCGACCCCTAAATAACTTTCACATGGAATTAAATATTTTTTCAGAAAATGGATTGTTGTGTAACAGTGGTGAAGTGTTTGTTGATCGAGACTATCAATTCTTCGAGAGTCCCAGTGCCTATATACTCACGAGAAGGATATGGTATGGAATAGCTTGGTACATTTCCGTGCTGGTATATTTGTACATTTGGAAGTTGTTTCAGTGTGGAGAGAGATGGACACGGTCAGTATGCAATTTGATAGGAATGATCTATTTTACCTAGTCTATAACTAGATAGACTAGAATATCTGTGGTTCTACCCTTTTACCGTTTTACCTGCCCTTGTCTGTCCATTGTGGGGCATATTTTTTCTGCCAATAAAGGTGGAGAGTCGTCAAATGACTTAGGAAACAACAAAACAAATGTGATTTGTTTAGTTAAAAAGACTTTGTTCAACATATGGTATAGTTTAGAAATGAGATTGGAATGTTGTTTTGTTAACCCCAGTGAACTTTCAGTTAATCTTAAGACCAAGGAGGCAAATTTGTAAGAATGACATGAAACATGGTGATGATGGATGGATGTGTGGATGGTCAAAGCCACTCAGTGACAGAGTATTGAAGTACTTGACGTGCATTGTGAAAGTTGATCGAGACTATCAATTCTTCGAGAGTCCCAGTGCTTATATACTCGCAAGAAGGATATGGTATGGAATAGCTTGGTACACCTCTTTGCTGGTAGATTTGTACGTTTGGAAGTTGTTTCAGTGTGGATAGAGATGGACACGGTGCATTGTGCGGTAAACCTTGCTCTTTGATTTCATTGGTAAATCTGTATAAATATAATGAATTTATGATAATAATTCAGAAATTAGTATGCCCTTGTCTGTCCATTTTGGGGCATATTTTCTCTGCCAATAAAGGTGGAGAGTCGCCATATGACTTGAGAACCAACAAAACAAATATAGCTTGGTACATCTCTGTGCTGGTAGATTTGTACATTTGAAAGTTATTTCAGTGTGGAGAGAGATGGACACAGTCAGTATGCAATTTGATAGGAATGATCTACTTTAGCTAGTAGACTAGAATATCTGTGGTTCTACCCTTTTACCTTTTTACCTGCCCTTGTCTGTCCGTTTTGAGGCATATTTTTTCTGCCAATAAAGGTGGAGAGTCGTCAAATGACTTAAGAACCAATAAACCAAATGTGATTTGTTTAGTTAAAAAGACTTTGTTCAACATATGGTATATGTTGAGAAATGAGATTGGAATGTTGTTTTGTTAACACCAGTGAACTTTCAGTTAATCTTAAGACCAAGGAGGCAAATTTGCAAGAATGACATGAAACATGGTGATGATGGATGGATGTGTGGATGGTCAAAGCCACTCAGTGACAGAGTATTGGAGTACTTGACATGCATTGTGAAAGTTGATCGAGACTATCAATTCTTCGAGAGTCCCAGTGCCTATATACTCGCAAGAAGGATATGGTATGGAATAGCTTGGTACACCTCTTTGCTGGTAGATTTGTACATTTGGAAGTTGTTTCAGTGTGGAGAGAGATGGACACGGTGTATTGTACGGTAAACCTTGCTCTTTGATTTCATTGGTAAATCCCTATAAATATAATGAATTTATGATAATAATTTAGAAATTAGTATGCCCTTGTCTGTCCATTTTGGGGCATATTTTCTCTGCCAATAAAGGTGGAGAGTCGCCATATGACTTGAGAACCAACAAAACAAATATAGCTTGGTACATCTCTGTGCTGGTAGATTTGTACATCAGTATGGAGAGAGATGGACACAGTCAGTATGCAATTTGATAGGAATGATCTATTTTAGCTAGTCTATTACTAGATAGACTAGAATATCTGTGGTTCTACCCTTTAACCTGCCCTTGTCTGTCCATTTTGGGGCATATTTTTCTGCCAATAAAGATGGAGAGTCGTCAAATGACTTAAGAACCAACAAAGCAAATGTGATTTGTTTAGTTAAAAAGACTTTGTTCAACATATGGTATATGTTGAGAAATGAGATTGGAATGTTGTTTTGTTAACCCCAGGTAAATCTCTATAAATATAATGAATTTATGATAATAAATCAGAAATAATGCCCTTGTCTGACAATCGGCTCTCGACTTTCACTTTTTCATTCTGGACTGTTTTTTTTCCACACATATTCATCAATATACAACACAAACATATCCCCTGGACAGCCCTGACAATCAGCCTGACTTCCACTTTTTCATTCTGGACTGTTTATTCACTCATATACACAAACATATCCCCTGGACAGCCCTGACAATCAGCTCGACTTCCATTTTTTCATTCTGGACTGTTTTTTCCACTCATATTCATCAAAACACAACACAAACATATCCCCTGGACAGCCCTGACAATCAGCCTGACTTCCACTTTTTCATTCTGGACTGTTTATTCACTCACATTCATTAATATACAACACAAACATATCTCCTGGACAGCCCTGACAATCAGCTTGACTTCCACTTTTTCATTCTGGACTGTTTATTCACTCACATTCATTAATATACAACACAAACATATCTCCTGGACAGCCCTGACAATCAGCCTGACTTCCACTTTTTCATTCTGGACTGTTTATTCACTCATATTCATCAAAACACAACACAAACATATCCCCTGGACAGCCCTGCCAATCAGCTTGACTTCCACTTTTTCATTCTGGACTGTTTATTCACTCACATTTATTAATATACAACACAAACATATCCCCTGGACAGCCCTGACAATCAGCCTGACTTCCACTTTTTCATTCTGGACTGTTTATTCACTCACATTCATTAATATACAACACAAACATATCCCCTGGACAGCCCTGACAATCAGCTTGACTTCCACTTTTTCATTCTGGACTGTTTATTCACTCACATTTATTAATATACAACACAAACATATCCCCTGGACAGCCCTGCCAATCAACTTGACTTCCACTTTTTCATTCTGTACTGTTTATTCACTCACATTCTAAATATACAACACAAACATATCTCCTGGACAGCCCTGACAATCAGCTTGACTTCCACTTTTTCATTCTGGACTGTTTATTCACTCACATTTATTAATATACAACACAAACATATCCCCTGGACAGCCCTGACAATCAGCTTGACTTCCACTTTTTCATTCTGGACTGTTTATTCACTCACATTTATTAATATACAACACAAACATATCCCCTGGACAGCCCTGACAATCAGCTTGACTTCCACTTTTTCATTCTGGACTGTTAATTCACTTACATTTATTAATATACAACACAAACATATCCCCTGGACAGCCCTGACAACAGCTTGACTTCCACTTTTTCATTCTGTACTGTTTATTCACTCACATTCTAAATATACAACACAAACATATCCCCTGGACAGCCCTGACAACAGCTTGACTTCCACTTTTTCATTCTGTACTGTTTATTCACTCACATTCTAAATATACAACACAAACATATCCCCTGGACAGCCCTCACAATCAGCCTGACTTCCACTTTTTCATTCTGGACTGTTTATTCATTCACATTCATTAATATACAACACAAACATATCCCCTGGACAGCCCTGACAATCAGCTTGACTACCACTTTTTCATTCTCGACTTTTTATTCACTCACATTTATAAAAACACAACATTAACATATCCCCTGGACAGCCCTGACAATCAGCCTGACTTTCACTATTTCATTCTGGACTGTTTTTTCACTCACATTTATAAAAAACACAACATTAACATATCCCCTGGACAGCCCTGACAATCAGCTTGACTTCCACTTTTTCATTCTGGACTGTTTTTTTTTCACTCACATTTATCATTATACAACACAAACATATCTCCTGGACAGGCTTGACAATCAGCTTGACTTCAATTTTTTCATTCTGGACTGTTTTTTTTTACTCATATTCATCAAAACACAACACAAACATATCCCCTGGACAGGCTTGACAATCAGCTTGACTTCCACATTTTCATTCTGGACTGTTTTTTTTTCACTCACATTTATCATTACACAACACAAACATATCTCCTGGACAGCCCTGACGATCAGCTTGACTTCCACTTTTTCATTCTGGACTGTTTATTCACTCACATTCGTTAATATACAACACCATCATATCCCCTGGGCAGGCCTGACAATCAGCTCGGCTTCCACTTTCATTCTGGACTGTTTCACACACATTTCTATTGTATAACTTATCTTTACAACTGTTCTACACTTTTGACCCGTTCTACCATGAGGGGAAGTGCAGACCATGCAGTTTATCTGCTTGAATTCTTTTTTTTCTTTTTCAGCTCAATTTTATATAGTGTTTTTATCTTTAACAACTGTTCTACACTTTTTGCCCAGGTCCATCATGAAGGGGAAGTGCAGACCATGCAGTTTATCTACTTTAATTTTTTTTCTATTTCAGCTCAATTTTATCATTAACAACTGTTCTACACTTTTAGGCCAGTTCTACCGTGAAGGGAAGTGCAGACCATGCGGTTTTAATGTTATTTCTTTAACTCTTTTTTACTCATCTATTTTACTTATTTTTACAGTGTTCTACACTTATTGACCAGATATCAACTAGTCATGACAAACCTGTACATCTAATCTTAATGGGTCAAAGTGTTCCTGAATTATTGATCTGAACACCTTTATGATGATATTTACCTTGACTTGAACTTAATCAATGATAAATCTACCAGTCATTACCAACCTGACCACCTCATTTGATGACCATAAGCCATGGCTTTCCCTAGTTGACCAATCAACTTCTTTAACTACTTGGCATGATTATTAACTTTAAAAGCCCAGTCATTGACCAAAACTTTCTCCGGTTATTGGTCAGACATTGATATTGGATATTGAAGCTCTGATTATGGAATGGTGGGGGATGTGTAGCAAAACCAAAACGCACGACTTTATAAACTATAGACTGTACAGTGACAGACTTACCGTTCTTCAGAGCTTCAATCAAAGGTTAATAATTTGAAAAAATAGCTAAACACCATTTCCGGTACTTTCTGTACATAGCTCTCGGGAATTCACCTAAATGTTGTGTAATAATGTAACAATCTGTATGTTTTAGGCCTTTTTGGGATTAAAGTGAAATAAAACAATTATTTCATTTTTAGAAAATAATTAGAATATCATAGTATTAATAATTCCATGAAATAAAATGAGATTTTCTGCTTAAACTTAAAGAAATAATATATCTCAAACGGTGATTTTATAGCTAAACAACACTGTTTGGAGTTTGAATGTGATAATAAATAATAATCAAGCTATAAAATCACTGATTTGGATATCTTATTTCAATTCTAACACAACATCAACAAATGAATGAGCCGCGTCACGACAAAACCAACATAGTGAGTTTGCGACCAGCATGGATCCAGACCAGCCTGCGCATCCGCGCAGTCTGATCAGGATCCATGCTGTTCGCTATCAGTTTCTCTACTTGTTATAGGGTTTGTAAGCGAACAGTATGGATCCTGATCAGACTGCACGGATGCGCAGGCTGGTCTGGATCCATGCTGGTCGCAAACCCACTATGTTGTTTTTGTCATGACGCGGCTCAAATGTGTAAAATATGCGATAGATAGTAACCACCTGAAACTCTAAAATAATTATAAAAAATAGATATCGCTCATTCTCAATAAGACACAGCATTTGATGTTCCACTGGGTAGCTCTTATACGAAGGTTTTTCTTGAGGTCAAAATGTCGTTAGAAAAGTGGCTGCCACTTTGTCTAATAGGGACACTCTCAGTTTTACCTTTCTATCTGTTATTTTTCTTTTACAAGTACCATTAATGCCCTAAAATGTAACATACGTTACTGTCGCCACCTAGAATTTTCAACTTTGAAATTGTGTCTAAGAAAAATAAGTTCCAGAATAAACGAAACATGTGCAATTAGTCATTGCTGTGTGTATATGAACTTTGATTATTGGTAAAAATTACATTTGACTCTTAAAATCTCATTGATATAATGAATGATGAAATGTCGCCAAATGCATATAAATAAATAGTGACAAACCTAAAACAATAATAAGTGGAACCGAAATTACATAATTGAATCGGTGCATGCTTAATAATACAGCATATATATAATTATAAGCTTGAGGCCTCTCAAAAATCATTATATTTTCGGAAATTTTCATTTTTTATTCAAATCTTTTCAACAGCATTTTAAAAAGAAACATACGTTACCATTATTTAAGAGCCAATCCATTCAAAGAAGAATCCAAACAAGAAAGAAAATTAACATGTATGTAACTCTGATATATTAACCACAAATTATGGCGGGTTAAACGGTCTTGCGTCATTTTTTAACCCACTTTAAATGTAAAAATGAAACATACGTTACAGAAACATACGTTATCAACTTTTTAAAGTTAGTTTATCAAAAGGGAAATTGAAGTCAGAAAGCACGTATAACAGCAACATTAACTTCTATTTGACATTAGTAAGTAAATTTTGATAACTTTGGTCGAGTTTTAACTTGTTTAAGTAACCACAGTGAAACAAACGTTACTTTTATCAAACAGACTTTATATTGTTTACACATGCATTATATAAAAACATAAAATCGCATTTTTATGACAATAGAATGATGTACATTTGATTCATAAATAAAAAAGTCGATTTTACATGTAAGTTTCAATTCCGTGATTAAGTTCATAAATAAGCGAGTGTGAAACATACGTTACTCCAACTTACAATTCAACAATTTTTGAAAATTAAAGATAAAGTTGGGATTATCATGCCTGTTAGTAACGGTTACCTTGTATTAGATGTAAGAAGATACAAAATTATTTTTTACAAAGGAAAGATATGTTAATAATACATATGTATGTTGATGTACCAGCAATAATGTTAAAAATATTTTACCAGATATTGATGTTCTCAGCAACAACTAATTCGTTTCTGCAAAGAGCTTACTGACCGTATTTCATTCTATATATAATAATGTTAAAATAATATCCATAAATATACATTATTTTACAAAAAATAAAATTGTTTTCTCAACCTTTACTTGCATTTGAATAAAATGAAACATACGTGACATCCTATATGGGGATAAATATACAACTGCTTAGCAATAAATTTTCCAAATATTAAGAAAGTGAAAAGTTGAATGTTTTGAAAAAAAATTGCTAATACAACATTTGTGTATGCATTCGACCTCTCATAAATTATATATGATATATATCCTTTGAATGAAGACATAAAATAATCATTTCCAAAATTGACTATTTTTGCTTTCTACGAATATTTAACTTTGAAGAAATTAACTGAAAATTAGCAAGGTACCCAACTTCATTGAATTTTCCTGGGTTAGAAAGTCCCTCTAGATAGAGAATTTATAGATTTTGATATATTTTAAAGACATTTGTTGTTAATATGCAGCCAATATGTTACATTATTAGATCTGAAATCTACGTTACCGAAGAAATACAGTGTCATTACCAAAATAAATGCCATCCTGTTATATCATAGTTTCTTGTTGAAAATATTTCTGGCAAACTTGCAAAATACCCTAAACTTTTACTTCATCGATAAAAAATGACACAATGACAACATCAAATTTTTAATATTTTTCAACCTCAAATGCTTTATTTTATTGAGAATGGGCGATATATCTCATAATAATGGTGTTTATTATATACTGATAAATGAAATATGAAATAAAATTTGTATTTTCATTTTCCGTATTTTTCACTGTAAAAGATATATTTTTCACTGCAGTTAAACATATTTTACATATTTTTACTTGTGTCTTGCCGGATTACTTTCTTCTAAATTCAGCCAATGAACAAAATTTAAGAAGTAATCTT